GTTTGTCACAGTCTACACATTTGTTAGGTGTGCTTTTACTCCTCTTTCCAAACTGTGCTCTTGGTTTCCTTTGAAGAGCTATTTATAAACATCTTGATTGTGTGGTCCTGTTTTGGTGACTCACATGTCTCTGACAGATTACACACACTTATGTTACAGTAATCAAATTCTCAGAGAGGAGGCAGCTTTTAAAAATATTTATATGTGTTTTTTAATAAGTGGGAATTTTTATGGACAGAGAAAAGCCCGAACAGTAAAGGATTGGGGTTTTTTGTTTGTTTAAACAAGCCTCCAGTAAAACAGAAATGATTGCCCAGCTACAGCTGTCAGTGTGTGAATTAGTGCAAGCCAGACAAACTTCAGGATGTAATTCCAGTGCCTCCAGCCTCCCCAGGCAGCTGCAGAGCCAGGTCAGCAGCCCCATCCTGCCTTTTGGTTTCTAAACAGCAGAGAATGTCTATAACCATGTCATCCTTAAGGGAAAACTGCAAGCACAGCAGCAGATTCTWGAACTCTTTAAAATATGGCACTTAGAGAGTGGGAGACTTGTTTGTCTTCCTTCATTATGTTTTGCTGCAGTCTGGATGCTGAGTGTTTAAAGAATCAAAGTAGGAGCCAGTCTGAATCCCTGCTCCACCATCTCCCCCAAAACAGTTCTCTACCCACCTCCTTCCTKCTTGCTTCAGGAGAGCAAAGCAGTGTGTGAATTGCACTCACAGCAAAATCARAATCAGATTTTAAAACTTCCTAAGTAGGGAGGAGAAATGGCTTGGTACGTGTAAAAAGCTTCGAGTCCTGAAAGGAAGTACATCCTAGTAGGCTGCTTAAAAATGAAGATACAGGGCCTTGCTTTGGAAAGATCCTTCCTGGGGTTCAACCAAAKTGGAAATACCCTGCTAAACAGTCTGAATTTTGCCTTTTCTGAGCCACGGTGCTGTGGARATAAAAATTAGCATTGATGTCTGTACCTTGGTGTCACTGCTTGAATCCAGTAGTGTTTGGAGAGCTCTTGTGTAAATACAGCTTYGGTTGCTCTGGGGTGAAGTGTATGTATGTGTGTATATACACATGTGTATATATATATAAACATATAAAATATTGATGCTAATTTAGGGAGTCTAGTTCATATATTAGAAAGATGTATGTATGTGTGTGTGTATATACATATGTGTGTGTGTATATATATATATATAAACATATAAAATATTGATGCTAATTTAGGGAGTCTGGTTCATACATTAGAAAGATATGTAAAGATTGCTTAGTTAGTTAAACCCTGATGGTTGGGCTTTCCAGATTTTCAAGTCCCTGAGGTTTAAAGAGTCCAAACTCCCAACTTTTCTGAATGAAGGGCAGATGGAGTCTGTGCCTCTTGGTGGTGGGTTTGGAGACTCCCAGAATGTTTTCAGAAAGTCTGAAAACCTGAGGTTTATAACTTCTGATGGCAGCAGGAAGGCTCCTGYTCAAGATCTGCAATTAGGGAACAGATTCAATGCGTTTGCAGGTGACAGGGGCATGGGTGCTCCATCCAGTGAAGCACCATGGCAAATCTGAGCCGTGCAGAAGTAGGAGAAAGTGGGACATGGTAAGAATAGGGCAATTCCCTGCTGGGGGTGTTGGAGACTCCCATCTGCTGACCTGACCATCTAGAGAGGTTTGTTGGCTGCCAGGAGCTGAGATCTGGAGCACTGTGGCAATTCTGCCAAAGCTTGTTTGGCTTCAGACTGCTGCTCCCTGTGTTCTCCCATGCAGGTTTCAGTGATACTGCCTGAAGTGATAAGGAATTATCAGCAGTGACTGATTGTGTGGCTCTGGGGTGATGACCAAGCGTGTGGGACACTGGCAATCAGGGTGTCACGATCTGCTTAACCCAAGCGGGAGTCGTGAGGGTTCGTTATCTGAATCTCAGAGTGCGAAAGAAACGAGGGGCAAGTATATATATTTTAAATAATCATGAACAATTTATTGGATTTTTGTGATAGAAGAGGGTGAGAGAGAGACGGAAAAAGAGTGGGTTTATAGCTACCAAATGGCTCAGATGAGTCCGCACGATCCGAATTCAGTGGATGTCGCCGACAGTCCATTGGGGGGGATCCCATCAGGGTCTTTTCAGAGAGACTTTTTATAGTCCTTTTGAAAGCGGGTGGCAGCAGGCAGGGGGTTGTGAAGTATGGAAAAACCAACCAAGAGGTGGGGAAAGAATGTCCATTGTTCCATGAGGTGTGCAGCATGGGCTGTGGGCTGTACCGTTCTCTTTCCGTCTCCACGTCAGAAGCAGCGCAGCCATCCATGGTTTACACGCTGTACCTTCCAGCCTAGGAGCTGGAAACTTGGCAGTCATCCCACCTTGATCTGGCTGGGACTCCTTTAAGCAAAAGTGCCCCTTTCTTCCCCTTGGGGTTCCTTTTTTTTGGGGGTGTTCAGTCTTCGATGATTGTGAGACAGTCAAAGGTCTTCTGTAGGGTTTCTTACACAAGGGTCTCCCTGATATTTGGGTGAGAGCAAAGGGCGTTGGGATGAGTGGACAGACCCTGTGGGTGAGCTGGAGTGGCATCAGCAACACAGTTCTGGTTTAATGATCATGAGACTCTTTTTGAGGATTGCTTGGAAAAGGTGGGATTCAGCTGACTAGGGCAAAGGCATCTTTGCTAGCTGTCTTATGAGAAATTGGTGGACCAGGTTGGCAAARAAAATGTGATACAAACAGTGGGAACCTTGCAATTAAAAACATCAGGACTGAAGGGGGCCATKTCCAASCATAYCCACATAAACAARGAAGTGCTTTCCAGAATTACAGTGRAAACTCTGCTTCTCTTTCTGGGAAGCCAGTGTGGCTGGTTGCCTCTCTGAAATACCTGTGTTTTCATGCATACAGCATAAGACTCTGAGCATCCTGTGCTTTAATTGTTTCTGCTTTGAATGAAGGGATTGGTCTGCAGAGATGCCTTCCAGCCTCAAAAGTTGTGTGATTAGTGGTTAGTGGTTTGTACTTCACGTGCAAGCTGATAATAAATGAAATACTACTAGGGGCTGTGCTGGAACTTGTTCTGTCTTAACATCTTTTTCAATTTCTGGAGAAGGCAGTGGAGCATCTTCTCCTCAAGTCTGTGATTGCTGCCGAATTGGGGGAACAGTTCATGTGCTAAAGAACAAGTGGACCTGATCTAGAGGAACTCCAATTGTGTGTCCTGGAGAAGAGAAGTTGGGAGGCCCTAATATCAGCCTTACAAAGCCCACCAGTAGGTTATCAGGAAGGTGGAGTTGGTTCACAGTGGGACAAGACCAGTGRGTGAAAACTGGTACAAGAAAGGCTCCAACAGACTGGGGAGAGAAAACCTTGAGAACCTTTTTCTCAGTCAAGCAGAGGAGCAGATTCTCCTGCGTGCCCTACCCACCTCTGTCCTTGGAGRTTTTCAAGACCCATGTGGGCAAAGCCCYGAGTAATCTGGTTTGAYCTCAGAGCAGAAAGCTAAACTGGAGACGTGAGGTCCCTCTCAGCCTGAATGACTGATTTTTCAGTCRAGTTTCTGTGATAAATTTTTCATGTTCTGTTTGCATCTCAGCTTATAATGTGTGGTGCCACTTTTCTCTTGCTGTTGATGATGTAGTTTAGCAGGTCTCTTGTAAACTGGTTTTATAATGGTTTTTGACTTCACAGAAGAAGTAATAGAGGAATATTATAAGCCATAAATTGTGCTTGGTATGTATCCAAAAGTCAGAGCACTGCTTTAGCTATGACTTGCAGGCTCTGGAGGAGGGACAGAGATGTTCAGCATTGTGACTGTGTGACATTTTGGGGGTGGAAAGAAGTAACTCTGCTTTCGTGTCAACTAAATTCAGTTTAGTATGCAGGGTTTGTTATTTAGGCAGAAGCTTTTTGCTGCCTGTGGTGTAATGGTTGRGTTTGCTTTGTGAGCTGGTATTGCCTGTTTGCAGGGTTTTATGGCACAGTCATTTCTGCAGAAAGCAGATGCCTGTTCCTAGCTCTCACTTTGCTGTTTTAGTGGTTGAAGTGCCCCACATTTGGTGGAATGTCTTGAGATTTTCCTTTCACTGAAGGAAACAGGAGTCAGGCTTTACAGATGTGACTATCCCAGAGCTCTCCAGTCCCGTTCATCCCAGCAGATGTTTGATGAACCACTGAAAATCGCTGTGCCTATTCCATATTGAATACCCCAGGTGTATTCGTTTTGATTCTCTGAAGGAATTTTGCTCTGTTTATGACTTCCTTAATTCTCTGCCACAGACTTTGTTTTGTGCATTTTTGAAGGGATGGGGACACCTCTTGGGAAAAGGGATGCCCATATAATGGTAGCAAGTTTATAATGCAGCTCTGMTTACAGGCATTCAGAGCAGTAGAGGTATTTCATCTTAATTCTCTGATGCTCAGTCACAARTGAAAGTAAATCTCCTTTTGATGAAACCCTGTGAGGGCACGTCCATGCAGCAAAGTGTTGCACTTCTATATAGACAACAGTGAAACTCATCACAATGCAAAAAAATCTTGTTAAATGCTCTTTAGGGTGATAGTGATGTATTTAGCAGGGTAGTTGCAGTGGCTTGGGATGCTTMTGAATTTGAGAACATTGCCTTATTTATTTCCTTATGAAATCAAGTGCTTTGGAAGTCRTGTGAGCAAAAGGTACAACTTTGTCCAAGAAATAAAAATAAACTTTGTAACGCTGCCAGAATAAATATTGCTGAAGCTTTCCTTTAAAAAGAAAAGAAAAATGTGCGTTATTTGTTGCCTTAACCATGATGAGCTTTTGTGTGTGTTTTTTCACTTTGGTTCTCTTTAGAGGTGAGCCACAGAGTGTTACCATTTTATGTTGTCTATTTGATGCACTCTCTTGCTTAAGTTGATTGTAATACTTTCACTGAGAATATATAACTGCTTTGGTGTTTTCTTACGCCTTTGGAAAGCAGGAAAATTTTGATGTAGTCAATAATGAAAGTATAATAATAATAATAATAAGTGTACGTGTGTGTTTCTGTTTTAGTGGAGGCCATAGTGGAGTTTGACTACAAAGCTCAACATGACGATGAGCTGACGATCACTGTAGGTGACATCATCACCAACATCAAGAAGGATGATGGAGGATGGTGGGAAGGACAGCTCAAAGGCAGAAGAGGTTTGTTCCCTGACAACTTTGTAAGAGTGAGTACAAAGTGGAACTGTTCTTGTGTGTATAAGCTTTATGTACTGATTTTTTCAGTATCAGCCTTTATATCATGATATCTCTTCTATCCAAAAGCATGATATATTTTATATACACATACATTGCATATGTGCAATATAATACAATGCTCTGTTGAGCTAGTGTTACCAAGAAAAGATTACTTCCTTTGCAAAGTCAAGCTGAAAATAAAAGAAGCTGCCCCTACATTTCTTTGCTGTTCAGTGATATTTGACTTTGTGAACAAAGTGRTCACTCTAGAACAGCTTATAGGTCATTGCATTTAAAATATTTTCTCTTCTCTGTAACTGATTCTGCTTTCCCTAAATGCTTTCTTGAGTTTTATAAAAGCTTTTTTTTATGCATATTTATTCCTGGRTAAAMTAGTTGAGAATAATCAGATTTTTCCACAAAGTTGCCTATAAAAGCTTTTAAAAAATCATTAATTTGTATCCATGTAATATACCAAATAACTTGCAGTAATCCTTCTTTTAGGAGAGGTTTAGAAACAAATTACTGTTTTTGCTGGGCATGTGTGTGCACACATATGTCTGCACATATGAAGCCAGCTATTAGTACATCTGGGCCTCCTTGCTTTGTCATTGCAGACCTAGGTTGGTAATTTCTATAAATCTTTATAAACTTGGCTCTSCACTATTGAAAAGAGAGCAAGAACTACAACAAATTACAAGAATTGATTTTATGTTAAATCTTTTAGTACAACTTCAGAGGATCTTTGGTACATTCCCTTTTCTAAGGGTAAAAAAATGTCTTTTTTTTTTAACTTCTTCTAACTGTAAGCCTGTTGTGTGTTTAGACATATGGACATAATGAAGTAATTTCATTTTGCTTCAGTAGTGCTGCATATGGCAATTGGGTAATTCGGGGAAGTGGTCTGGTTGCAAATTTTGCCAGCTCACCATGGGCTTGTGGGGTGGAACGGGAGCCTTTGGGGTAGGGGAAAAAAACTATTTTGATACTTGTTGTGTATTGTAATGTTTTTCTGCTTGAACTCTGACAAACTGTGGGACAAATGTGGACTTCCTCTGATTTGTATTTGAAATCTTTGGCTGATTTTAGGAGGTGTTGGATTTAGTGTTCTAAACAAATGCGTCTTATAAATATCTGTAATGGAAATAAAATAAGATTTACAAGTTGTCCCTGGTAGTACCTAATTTTAAGGCCTCTTCTTTCCAAAATGACTTCGAACTGTGGCATCCTGTCACATAATTGAAATATAAATAGCTTTTTCTCAATAGAAAGTTCTAAAAAAACCATAAATGGTTTACATTTTGTCTTCTCATGAAATACCACTCCCTGCTCTTTCCTTCCTGCCCTCCTTTTTTTTTTTTTTTTTTTTTTTTCTATTTTAATCAGCATCCAGGGCTGATTAAACATCATTATGATGTTTTTTGTAGCCTAGCATTTTGTCTCTGAGTTAGGTAAGATGGAGTGGAAGATACACCCTTACTTAGAGTTAATGAATCGCTTGAGTGAAAACCTTTTTCTTGTTTTTGTTGTGTAAATATGGAGAGCTGTTGTCAAAATAGCAATCCTATTCAAAAGCTTGTTGAAATTTGAAATTCTGGCCAGTAAGATTGTAAGTAATGGCAAACTTTCTCTTGATTATGGAAAATTTTTAACAAGTGAATGCAGTGTTGAGCTCACCAGCAGTCAGCTCATGCCCCACTGCCAAAGTGTGTGCAAAAAGCAATGCTAGGCATGAGTAGTGGACTTGAACACAACTCCAAATTCCTATTTCTTATCAAAATTGGTTCTRAGAGTAGTTGAGAAAGTTATTCAAAGGTTAAAAACTATAAATCAAATTCTTGAGGTACTTTGCGTTCTTCCTTCAAGTGGTGGGAATAATTTCTTATGGAGAAGAGCTTTTCCTTCCTGTGATTTTGTTTCCTTTTGAATAAATTCATGAGGATGTTCCAAATAAACTGTTGTGGTTTGCAAAAATTGAATGTTTGGGCTGAAATGAAATGATGGTATTAACACTGTAAAGAGTCCTGAATGGTTTGTGTTCGCATTTGTGCACAGATTCTGGAAGTGCAGTTTGGAAGRAAAGAGGTAGAAATCAGAAATGGAAAAATTCAGGAAATGCAGTATATTGTAATGTGTATGAAAAGACATTCATGTGAAGTGTTATTTAACAAATGAAACCCCATATTTTCCAAGGGAATGTGAAATAGGTTGTGAATGTGGAAAAGACTTTTGGAGTTGCTTGTACCAAAAGTGTTTTTAAATTTCTTGGAATAAATTCAAATGAGGAGACCATTGAAGAGTTGTCTGAACTCAGAGAAAGAGGAAAGGGGAGGTAGCAATGCTATATGTGAAGAACATACGCAGTTGTTTTTTTTCAAGGGACTTTCTCTACGAAGTTTTATCAGAGGTGCTTCCTGTTCTTGAGTCTACAAAACAACTGCTCTGAATTTGTTGTATATTTATACAAACAGCGACAAAAAAGACAGATTCATACCCTGCTGATGCTCTGAAATTCAATATGCAAGGTGTAACGGAAAAGGTATTTGARATTTATTTTCTGTTTCTGTTTTCATTGCTTACTAGTCTGCAGCTATGGCCCCTCGGAAGATTTTGCGGAAGAAGTTTCTCTAAATATGAGAAAAATCTTTAAGATCTGGTTTATCTCTGTMAACATTTGAATATTCTTTTGTTAGAGATAACAGTGCTGAATGTATCATAAGAAATGAGTGAAAGTGTGTCTGGTTATCATGTTTTTCTGTTTTCTTTCAATTTTTCAGGTAGAGAAATAGAAGTATGAATGGAGAATTATGTTCCTGGTGTCTGTTTTAGTTCTCAGTTATGCAGCTGAGAAAGAGGAGGTTTCAGGTGTGGGTGCAGTGTTGTTCATTTATATGGTATAAAGTTGGTTTTCGATATCTTTTCTAACTTGAAAACTTGAACTTGAAATCCATGCTCTGCAGTGTAAAACTGTTGGTAAGTGAGAGAGATGGATTTTGCYGATAGCAGATGAAGATGTAGAAAGCAGGAAGCTGATGCAGAGCCATGTTTGCTGGYTTTAATTTTCAAAGTCACTTCTGTGTGGGATTGAATGGCGTTACACTGATAAACTGAATTTGCTGCATGTAACAACCTTAAAGCTTCTCTGTACTCCAGAGGACTTGCCAATATTGCTGGCAGAATCGGAGAGGTGAATTTGTCTTAAGAAGTGTAGTGGTACTTTTTCTGAAATTCTGGTGAATAACTTGTGTTTTAGAATYGGTGAAACAGGACAGGGACTTTGTGTGGCTGCACTGCTGCCTGGGATCAGAAAAGCAACCTGAATTTCTTGTTTTGCAAGTAGAATACAATCTTTAAATAGTACCCATTGGTTGTGGGATGTCAGGGATGTTCATGCTGAATCACCAGTACACGGTGAAGATCCTTACCTGTTGCTTGTCATTTAATTTTCTTCGTTGTGGTTTAAATTTTAAATTTTCTTCTTGTGGTTTGTTTGTTTTTATCACAACCAGCCAGAGGTTGCAGAGGGACTGTGAGTGATTTCTTGGGTTTCCTATGTCACACACCCCTACTCATCCCTGTCCATAAAACCTTTTGTAAGATTCCTCCTGTGCAGCAGTAATTTGGCTGCTGGGCAGATGTCGTGGTTTGAACGAACTAAACAGGAGCAAAACACTCCCAAGTTCCAGCAAACCTCCCCCCCTCTCTTTTCCCCACCTGGGTCCTGGAGACAAACTTTTCCACAGAGAGGAAAGTGAAAAGAAAAGGGGAAAAAAAACCCTATTTATTTAAAATTATAAAAACAAAAAAAAAAAACCATGTGGAATCAGCTGTTAGATCCCAAAGCCTTTTGATTTGGTGTCTTGGCAGGAATTTGCAATTCAGCCAATGATCTTTTTTGTTTTGTAAATCTTATAGGAATACTGTCTACATATTTGTTTTCAGGAAATGTTTTAGATTGTGGGTTCCTCACTGAATGGAGTCAGGAGTACCGGCTTCTTATCCCAAGTTTTGGGTATGGCCATTAAACTTGTTAATGGTGAAATGCAAGAGAATATAATTATGTGAAAATGTTRTTTCTTTAAGCTTTTGTTGCTGTCAACAGCCATTAGGATTTTGTGAGGAGGATTTGTTTTGAAGGGAGGGGTTACTCAGGGGAGTGAGGTGGTGTGGAAAAGGGAGGAAAAATGGTGGTTCAGCTGTTGGATGTTTTGTGGGAATTGGCCTGTAAACATTTTATGAAATATTTAAAAGTAAGAGGGTTTTAAATACGTGCAGGAGTCACAGAGTGACCAAACAGCAATGTGAAGCTTCAGTGTTAAGGTGTTGACTAGTTTTTAGTGACTAATACATTATATTATATATAATACATTATATACATTACATTATATTATTATAATACATTATATTGCAAAAAGTTACCTTCTGAAAAGATGGTGGCTTATTTTAAATAATTATATATTGATGGAACTGATGGAAATTCTGTCATGGACCCAACTCCTCCCATGGCAGGGGGACTTGAGCTAAATTATCTTTAAGGTCTYTTCCAACCCCTAACYATTCTATGATTTTATGAAATTTACAGACTTGAGAACAAAATTTATTACTTTTCATTCTTTATGCAGTTTAATTGCTGATGTCTAAAACATTCTTATTTAAGTATATATAATGCTGCTTTACTGATAGAGTTAATGCAGGTAATATCAATTAATATACAAAGAAGACTCAATTATTTCCTCTTCTTGTTGAGATTGTCTTTTGTAGTTTTAAGAAAACCTCAGTAGAGTATTCCTGTTTAAATTTGCTGTTGTTTAAWTTGTAAATTACARAAAACCCAATTTGGGCTAAAAGAGMAATGAGTATTTTTTTTTGTTCCCTTCCTGAAACTCCAAGCCATGAGAAGAATCTAATCAGAGATTGAAACAAGAACCCAAAATGCCMTCTAGAAGTTATCTTTTCAAATAAATAACTTCTCTGGAGCTATAATATAACA